TATTGAGCAGTGTTTATATAATTTAATTATATCCAATTATAGTGTTACTGCAATTAATTTAGAGACAAAGATGAATAAAAATCTCCTTCCCATCCTCCACCTTAACTGTGGGAAATTGGAACACTGAATTATAGCTCACTGAAATTTGCCTTTAAATACATTACATACTTCATAGATATTAACATGAATAAAATTAAACTCCACAGGACTGGAAAAATTAAGCTAATGACTTTTTATGTAACCCAAGTTAATGAGTATTTTCTGCCCCAATTTTTTATTAAGGAATCAACCACAGTTTCTTGATTTCCTTCATTTCAGCAGTCTCTGTTGTGTGGCTATTTACAAAAATGCTTTATAAGAGCGTTTATTGAAGAGGTGCTCCATTTCCACAAACACTGAAATATATTTATATAGTTTTACAATTTTTTTAGTAATAAAGATTTTCAAAAATTAAGGGTGGCTTTTAGCATAGGTGTTTTATAATTTTTTTTTTTAGTCTCCTGAGTATGTTTTGATATATTAAAATACTATAGTAAAGAATAGTAACTCATGATTTTGTTTTCTGAGATAAAGGTAGGAAGGAAAGAAGAGTACAGAGAAAGTAAGGAAGAAAAGAGGGAAGAAGGAAGGACAGAAGGAAGGAGCTTAAAATATGGAGACTATTTGGAAAAAATTCTGTTTTTAAAGAACGTGGTGTTGAAATCCATATTGGCAGTGTTTTAGAAATAATCCTAGTATTAGAACTAAATAAGATGATTAATTAAAAAATTAAAGCTAATTAAATTTATAAAATATATTAGGTAGATACAACCATTAAATAAAATTCTTTGACACCTTTGATAATGAGTTAGCTGCTTTAATGCCTTTGTATTCGCTCATAGCTAAGATCTTAAAGTAAGGACTAACAACTTACATTATTTTGTAGGTAAAATATATAACTGACATTAAGGGAAACTGAAAACCAACCTTTCCTTATCTAATGACGGAACTGAGTGGTGAATGTAGTTACTTGGGAGAAGAGCAATGAAGACAGAGGGAATAAAAAATCCAAAGGCTTTGAGGTATATATTTGGCTCAAAATCTCAGAAAACCTCATTAAAATATAAATACAGCACACCAAAAGGAAAATAAAAATTATAAAATAAGTATTTAATAAATTAAGTACATAAAAGTTGTACCTTACTTGCAGTTAAATAAATACACATTTTAGCAAATTTTTGAACAATCAAATTGTCAAAGATTAAGAAAAAAATCGTTGCTGGCAAGGATGGCTGTAATTAGCATCATCATCTGCTGTTGGTGGAAGCCTTTGTTAGTTTATCTTTCTAGAAAACAACTTGGTGATGTGTATGAAAACACCTGAAAGATCAAATACTTTTGAACTAGTAATTTCATTTCTAGGAAGCCTTAATAAAGCAATAATTTGAGACGAACACAAATATTTATGTGCTGTGTATTGCAGTTTTCTTTGTAATATATAAGTATGGAACGATAGCAGAAGTGATAAAATGATTGTGAATTACTGAGTCCTATTTTTATGTGCCAGGCACAGTGAGTACTGCTGTGTATGGAATGTCTCATGTCTTTCTTTCTAAATTCATATGATGTAGAGTTAGTGTTTATTTGTTAATTTCCCTACCACTGTATTCATAATAAGTTAGATTTCCTTGGGGGAATCACCTTTATCCTGTGTAGTAGCCATGTGATTTAGGAGAACTGACCATATCTGTCTCTCCAGGAATGCACCCTGGTTGGCCAGAGCGACTCATTGACTCTGCACTCCCAGTGATTGGTTGGGGATGTGCATGTCACCTTCCTGGCTCAAACAGAGTAAATCCCAGAACTTTTGATGACTGACTCAGGGAGAATAGCTTTGTCTCCTGTTGCTCTCTTGCTCTTCTTTTTTCCTCATTCCTCCAAACATTGCTAAGATTTCCATCCCTTTCCCTAGTCAGATTTAGTTTATTCTTCGAATTCCTATTGCATTAAAAGTTTCTCTACCATACTATGAATTTCACTCTGCCCTACATCATTCATTAACTCAAGTCATGAATTTTTAACCTGTGTCCTGTTGTCAGCATTTCGGATCCATCTCATTGCCTGGGCTGTGTTATTGATTGATTGATTGATTGCCTGGGCTGTGTTTTTTACATAAAGGGTTCTTAATATTTGAGAGACCAGAGTTTGTGAAGAGTTAATGTTAAAAAAGAACAAAGGCTCTACCTTAACCTACTTAGGCTGAAAAATATAATAACCAAAAGTTTCACAGAAAGTGACTTGTGTTTCCCACCGATTTCACCAGAAAGGGTGAATGACTTGATAATTGTTCTCCAACTTCTTCTAATTAGGAAAATTTCCTGCTGGTGACAGCTTGAAAGCACCTCTAAAAGTTTCATGTCAAATTCAGAGGAAAGAACTAGGTTGAATTTGTTTTTAAATTGGCGAATTTAAAATTGTTATTAATTCTGAAATAGTTTGTCATGTGTCATCCTCTGTCACTTTTTTCTTTCCATAATGAGAGCTGAGGAAAGGGAACTTAACATGCACATTGAATGACAACAGATGGTAGGAGTTCTTGGTCCAGACTGACATCTCTGAGAATAGGAAAGCCCGGGGCCAGAGTTGTCTTGGTCTTGCTCTGTTCCTACATGAATTAAATCCCAAGCACCATTCCAGGTTTACATCTTACAAATATGAATGCCTACAGTCTATTTCTATTTTGCATTACCATTTAACAAATATACATAGATTTCTAAGGAGCAGTTTGCTTATCTCACCTTCTCTCTTTCATGATCTCCTGAGAGCCACATTTGACACATGATCTTCCTAAAATACATATCTTCTTGCTCCACTTTCCTGTTTTATCATACTCCTACCATCTTTAGGGTAAAATCCAAATTTCATGGCATGGCGTTCAAGAACCTTTCCGATATGGCCTTACCTTACTGCTAAAAACTCTTCTAAACCATTCTGTAAACATTCTCTTTTCAAATCCTATATACCTAACTGCTTGCCTATCCTTGAAGGTGGCATGTTGTTTCTTATTCCTGTGCCTTTGCTTATGATGTTCCCTCGCCAACTGTGGCCTTTCCCAGTTTCTTCATCGGATGACTTCTAAACTGAAGGTTCACAGATTCCATCTTTTCTAGCGGGACTTTCCTAAACATTTCTATGTTTCTTCTGCACTTGACCTTGCCGTTAACATCATCCTTATCAATTGACGAATGCAAAGGTGGCCGTGGACTTATTTCTTCTCCCTAATGACTGATACAATTGGGTATTCAGTACATGCTCAATGAATATTTGTCTGATGAACTAAATTAATTTTCCAGCTTTCCATTCCTTAGAGCATAGGGGTATAGTTATGAATGTATGTATGCCACTGCCTTGGTGAGAAGACTAAAATGAACAGGAAGTGATTGCGCCCAGCCACTGTGACAGTTTATACCCTTTTCCCTGGGGCATTAGAGTGAAAGCATTTGAGAAGACATCATTAAGAAGAGATTCTAAGGCATCTGGACTAAGATGCTAACGCATGCTAAGTCATTTGGACTTTGTCCAGAGGGTGATATGACCAGCTTAGTTGTTAGTCAGCTCATGGCCGACTGCTAATAGGTTGGTGAGGATGTAAACTGGGAGAAGAAACAAAATGGCGTCTCTTGTATTAAGTAGAATAGAATTTATTCTGATTTAACTTTATGATAATGGGTAAAGAAAATGAGGGATTATAATGCCAGGTTTCTGCTTGAATACTTAGAATGAAAATTACAGTATTTACTTAATTAAAATCACAGGACAAAGAAAAAAAAAGGAAAAAGAAAATCACAGGCCAAAGATCTGCTTTTGTATATTTTGAATTTAGTTGCCCAGAGAGAATAAAAGATGAGTATCTAGGAAAACTTTCTTTTGCAACATTTTGTAAATTAGTTTGGGATATTGCTAAGTTCTTGGGGCTAGCTATAAAAAGAAAAATAAGTAGCAAAATGATTTTGAGAAAGTTTTAAGATCATGATAATGCTGGTTTCTATTTCATTTCATGACAAGAAGAAATATGTCTTAGCCTGGCTTGTTTGTTTTAGTTGGTTTTACTGTGTATGAAATACTTAAAGATACCATGTTGCATTAACAGATTGAAGCATGTAGTCATATTGCAATGTTAATCATGTTAGTTTCTTAAACTAACACTGTTGGGAAAAATGAAGGTTCTGGTAAAGAAATGACTGGCATCACTTAATTTCATACACATCTTCAAATTTCATATTAATATATAATAAATGGTGGCAAAATAAGATGAAATTGAGTGTATTATGTTCATACTAAAATTTTAAGAATCAAGTTGGAAACAAGATTTTATATTTTAAAATAAAAATATAATCAAAAGAACAACCCATAAGCACATCTCATTTTTTGCAAGAATATTTGAAAATGCTCTTTATCTGCACAAATTTAATCATATCAGACCTGGGACAGTCCACTTCAGAGTATATGTCATTTTCTTGCAAGAAGAAAGATAGAAGTAGGCACAAGTTCATTCTTGTTTTTTAATGTGGATATTTTCGTGCTCTTCTTTATTCTGTCACATTGCATGATATATTCTAGGCTGAAAACATTTTCTCAGTAAGACTGGATTTCAGTCAGTCTGAGATAGAAATACAAACTGTGGGGATGTTAAATTGGATTAACCACTTTAAGGAAAATATTTACTTTCCTATAACATTTTGGAATGGGATTTTTTTGGAATAGTCTTGTTACTTATGTTATCTTAGGGGATTTCTTTCTTATTTATTTTCATAAGACCAATATTTGCACAAAATAGAGAAATTATCATTATGTTAAAAAAGAACTAATTTTGTCTCTCCTTTTCTCCCTTCTCCCTAAGACAAAACAGAAAAATGATCTAATTAGTCACTTTGGAAATCATGACATAGTTTCACGGTTACCTTTTAGCTGTGTCATGTTTGAATTCTAAAGCTGGAGGTATGTGGTAATAGAGCCTTTACATTTTGAGGAACGAGAAAATGAATTGTATCATATATATACCCTAAGATTGAGTAAACGCTAAAAGAGTACCATGTGATTTAATAAATAATAGGCATCACTGGGTAGATAAACTTTTTTTCACTAAAATTATAAAATACCCATATATGGCCTTACAATGAACCATGCTCATATTTTAATTCAAATTTTAGAGTCATTGTCTGTTGTGGTAGATGTTGTTGATGATCTGTCTGTAAACCCTTTCCTTTAGTGTCTCCCAAACAAACTTATTTACTTGAATTATTACGTCAGACTTTGCCTCTGGGGCCACCTAAACGAAGATCCTTTCTTTTCTTTCTAAAGTTCTGTTAGAAAATGAACTGGAATAGCATGAAAAAATAGACTTCTGAAGAAAATTGTAGCTAAGAGGAAAAAAGGTAGTGTTCAGAATATTCACATGGCTAAGACACAAAGAGGCAGAAATAAAATATTTGAGATCTGCTTTTAGTCTATAATTTGAGAAAGTCAAAAATATAGATCTGGCTTTACCAACAGTCTATATTAAAGTTATGGAGGGAAGCAGAACAAAAGAGTGAGATACATTTTTGTATTTTTGCCAAAACAAAACAGAAAAAACAGCTATTTTGACAAGAAGAGATACTATACTGTGAATATTTTTGCTAGTATTTGAAATTTATATCAGAGGTACATTTGAAGTGACCAAATTAAGGGAAGGCATAATTTGTGTTGCATCTGGAAAGGCTTTTTCCTTTCGTCTGCTGGAATAAAAAATGTAAAAATCTTAATCAGCCACATATAGCATGAGAATGAATAGAAGGATAAGTTACCTAAATGCTTTCTCCTTAGCAGTGGAAGTGGAATGAAAGTTAAAATAGATCAGTGCTTTCTAAAATTCTGTTTCATCTTCTTAATCAGGGACGGAGTATGCACTTGGTTGGTTTAATTAGCTGCTGACTGGAGGAGATAGCAGGGGCTAGCTGTAGGGGGAAGGGGTGTATTATCAACCAGCCATCGCTGTGCTTTCATAGTAAGATAGCCATGAGTTAAAACACTTAACTTACTATCTAGCAATTTTGGTATTTGATCTTATTTAGCAATCTGTTATTTTATCTTTTCCAAAAAATTAACACGCTTTACCACTTTTTTTATTAGGTAATTTTCTTGAACTTTCACAAGAAACATACTTAGAATTTTAGAATATGTACCGTAAGCTCTGAATTAAAATACACATAAATGTAATTATTGGTTAATTCTACTCAGTCCAATTTTAATTTTATTTTTAGTTATATGTGATTCCTTCTGGTATAGGAGAGGAAGTGATTGAGGAACTCAAATGGCAACTGTGTGATTGAAACTATTCAAAGTCAAGCGTCTGCATATTCTTTCAACTGTATTCGAGCACTCCCAGGTAAGAATTTGTGATTGTTTATATACTTACCACCATTTTGAAAAAAGATTTGAAACTGTAAACAATGTTTTTATTTTGTACCAAATACTTAAAAACATAGTTTTATTGCAGAATATGGTAAAATACATTAAAGCAAAATAAAGTTAAAATCACAAATGAGCCTGTTTTTCTAAAAATAACTTCTTGGGATGCTTGTGTGGCTCAGTCGGTTAAGTGTCCAACTCTTGATCTCGGCTGAGGTCTGGATCTCAGGGTCGTGAGTTCAAGGCCCGAGTTGGGCTTCACACTGGGCATGGAGCCTACTTAAAAAATAAATAAATAAATAAAAACAAAAAACTTCTGTTATCATTTTGTTCTATATCACTTAATGTTTTGTTGGTTTTCCCCTTTAAACAAAGTTAGGATATGTATTGTTTGCTGAATTTCTTTATTATTTTTGTCACATCTATTTTGTTCTGAGAACATGAATTAATGTCTCATATTTTTTTGTTAATATAAACATAAATAATTTTAAAATATTTTTTAGATTGTGTTTATTATTCAGACAATATCTTTATAGATAGATTGGTATGTACGTCACTCATTTTGCATTGGGAGAGTTACTAAAAGTAGCATCACTGGCTCAATGGCTATAATATTTCAAAGGCTTTTTATTATTTCTGAATTTACCTCCAGAAAGTAGTAATGAGTTACAGTTTTTGTTACCATTTTTGAAAATGTTTATTGATCCATGACTTAAAATATTTTCATTCAAAGAAATTCCCAAACAAAACCTAGTTTGTGTTGAAGAAAAAATTCAAAATTAAGTCAGTATTCTAAATTTTACTTGTAAGCAGTAGCACTCTCTACTCACATATATTCGGCCAATATATCCCTTACATAACCAAGTGTATAAGAAAAGTAAATATTACATATGTATAATCTTTCTGCACTGTCTAAAAATACATTATTTATAAGTGGTAACAAATATATTTTATTCAATTAGTATTTAGTGAAAATTTATTATCGTACTAAGCCTTATCGTACTAAGATATCGTACTATATCATACATAGCCTAAGCGCTATGATTATTTGATTATTATTGATGGTGGTGGTGATGGTAGACATTAAGGACAGGAAGGTATAGAAGTATTTTCTTACCTCTTTCAATTTTCAATAAAATGTGGCAAGGTAAGAAACTATTTCAGTTCCTTAGGTAAAAGTAGAATGTGCTAGGTGCCAAGAACACTTCACAAATGAGAGCCCAGTTGAGTTGTGCTTTTTAGAGTAGGTAGAACTTTGATGGGTGAACATTTAAATGGAGGGCAAAGTTGGAGCAAAGATACACAGCTGAGAAAGAAAGGGGGGTATTCAGGAAATAGGAAGGATAAGGTAGATATAGCAAAGTGATGGGAAATATGTTCTGTATTTGGATTTCTCTACTTAGGCATTTATATTTCATCATTACACATTGAAGGAACAATTGCAGGGGAATGAGATGGTCCATGAAGTCCTCTAAGAAGCTTAATATAGAAGTGATACGTGTGTTAGACTAAGGAAGGGAGAGCAAACCCAAAGGAAGGGAGAATGATTTGTAGACTTTTCCTTTCATTTTCATCAGCATTTGTTAAACACTTGCTGTTTGTCAGGTACTCGAAGAACTTGAGAAACTGTAGAAAAAAAGTTGAAGACATAATCTTTATTCCTGAGGAGGTTGTAGTGTGGGGGATGAGACATGCATGACCAACAAATAAATAGTGTAACAATAGAATCACATTATTAAAAAAGATTTCAATTATTTATTTGAGGGGGGAGGGGCAGAGGGAGAAGTACACTCTCCACTGAGCAGGGAGCCCTAGGAGGCCTAGCTCGATCCCAGGACCCTGAGATAATGACCTGAGCCAAAGGCAGATGCTTAACCAACTGAGCCACTCAGGCACTTCCAATTATTCACGTTTTTAGATAGACTAGTTGGTAACTAATTATGTAGAGATGCAGGTACTAGATTATCAACTGGTGAGGTTTTCTCAAAGACATCAAGTCTGATCAAGGTTACCGAGGAAGCAGTGTTTCTAAACATTGGAAGAATTCAAACAAGAAGCAGTGGAAATTTTATCTAGGGTGAGAATAATGTAAATAAAAACCAAGGCAGTGAAACTCTCACTCTTTGCAGATGATATGATACTTTATGTGGAAAACCCAAAAGACTCCACCCCAAAACTGTTAGAACTCATATAGGAATTCAGGAAAGTGGCAGGATATAAAATCAATGCACAGAAATCAGTGGCATTCCTATACACCAACAACAAGACAGAAGAAAGAGAAATTAAAGAGTCGATCCCATTTACAATTGCACCCAAAACCAAGTGATACCTAGGAATAAATCTAACCAAAGAGACAAAGGATCTGTACTCAGAATACTCACGAAAGAAATTGAGGAAGACACAAAGAAATGGAAAAACGTTCCATGCTCACGGATTGGAAGAACAAATATTGTGAAGATGTCAGTGCTACCTAGAGCAGTCTACACATTTAATGCAATCCCTATCAAAATACCATCCACTTTTTTCAAAGAAATGGAACAAATAATCCTAAAATTTGTATGGAACCAGAAAAGACCCCGAATAGCCAGAGGAATGTTGAAAAAGAAAAGCAAAGCTGGTGGCATCACAATTGCGGACTTCAAGCTCTATTCCAAAGCTGTCATCATCAAGACAGTATGGTCCTGGCACAAAAACAGACACATAGATCAATGGAACAGAATAGAGAGCCCAGAATAGGACCCTCAACTCTGTGTTCAACTAATCTTCGACAAAGCAGCAAAGAATATCCAGTGGAAAAAAGACAGTCTCTTCAACAAATGGTGTTGGGAAAATTGGACAGCCACATGCAGAAGAATGAAACTGGACCATTTCCTTACAGTACACCCCAAAATAGACTCAAAATGGTTGAAAGACCTCAGTGTGAGACAGGAATCCATCAAAATCCTAGAGGAGAACACAGGCAGCAACCTCTTCGACCTCAGCCACAGCAACTTCTTCCTAGAAACATCACCAAAGGCAAGCGAAGCAAGGGCAAAAATGAACTATTGGGACTTCATCAAGATAAAAAGCTTTTGCACAGCAAAGGAAACAGTCAACAAAACCAAAGGACAACTGACAGAATGGGAAAAGATCTGCAAGTGACTTATCAGATAAAGGGCTAGTATCTAAAATCTATAAAGAACTTATCAGACTCAACACCCAAAGAACAAATAATACAATCAAGAAAAGGGCAGAAGACATGAACAGACATTTTTCCAAGGAAGACATCCAAATGGCCAACAGACACATGAAAAAGTGCTCAGCATCGCTCGGCATCAGGGAAATCCAAATCAAAACCTCAATGAGATACCACCTCACACCAGTCAGAATGGCTAAAATTAACAAGTTAGGAAACAACAGATGTTGGCGAGGATGCGGAGAAAGGGGAGCCCTCCTACACTGTTGGTGGGAATGCAAGCTGGTGCAGCCACTCTGGAAAACAGTATGGAGGTTCCTCAAAAAGTTGAAAATAGAGCTATCCTACGACCCAGCAATTGGGGTATTTACCCCAAAGATACAAATGTAGTGATCCAAAGGGGTACATGCACCCCGATGTTTATAGCAGCAATGTCCACAATAGCCAAACTGTGGAAAGAGCCAAGATGTCCATCGACAGATGAATGGATAAAGAAGATGTGGTATATCTACACAATGGAATATTATGCAGCCATCAAGAAAATGAAATCTTGCCATTTGCAATGACGTGGATGGAACTGGAGGGTATTATGCTGAGTGAAATAAGTCAATCAGAGAAAGACATGTATCATATGACCTCACTGATATGAGGAATTCTTAATCTCAGGAAACAAAATGAGGGTTGCTGGAGGGGTGGGGGGTGGGAGGGATGGGGTGGCTGGGTGATGGACACTGGGGAGGGTATGGGCTATGGTGAGCGCTATGAATTGTGTAAGACTGATGAATCACAGACCTGTACCTCTGAAACAAATAATACATTATATGTTAAAAAAAAAAGATAGTAGGAAGGGAAAAATGAAAGGGGGGGAAATCGGAGGGGGAAATGAACCATGAGAGACTATGGACTCTGAGAAACAAACTGAGGGTGTTGGAGGGGAAGGGGGTGGAGGGATGGGTTAGCCCAGTGATGGGTATTAAAGAGGGCACGTACTGAATGGAGCACTGGGTGTTATATGCAAACAGTGAATCATGGAACACTACATCAAAACTAATGATGTATGGTGATTAACATAATAAAATAAACTTAAAAAAAAAGGAAGCAAACATCTGACTAGAAAAAAAAAAAACTAAGGCAGTGGTATAAGTGCTGGGAGGTTAAGGGGAGGGTCTTTTACATTAGGCAAGAGGGGTATGTTGATGGAATTAACAAAAATGGGGAGAATAGTGCAAAAGGGAGATTTTTTTTGTTGGTAAAATTATAAGTTTGGTTTTGAACACTGAGGATTTTTCTGCCAGAGTCTCTCACTGTGTTTTATCGCTTTCATTGCAATTCCTTATATAATTGAGGATTCATTTATTTATTATTAAAAGTGATTTGAGTTTCCTTAAAATGAAAGTAAAAGTACAATAAGGGTGAAAACAAGTTACACCAAACAAAACATGAACTTAATAATCACTGTATATTTAATTTAGCCTTAGCCTTTTCAGCACAGCAGAAGTGGATATATGTTCTTGCCCTAAAAGCTTAGATAAATTTATTATAGGAGTCTTAGTGTAATGGACAGGAAAAGTGTTCTTATTACTTAGAGGTATTTTAAATTTTGCATTGTTGAAAGGAAGGGAACTTTGATAATATATAGTTATAGGTAGGTCAGTTTGTGGAAACTAAGAATTCACCTTCTCCAGGAAGTCTTCTCTGACTTTTGGAACCTGGACCAGATCCTTCTTCTATGTGCTATGTACCTTAACCCAGTTTACATTCCTCTGTCGTACCGTGCATGTGGTCTTGTCTATCGTTCCCTG